TATTTTTTTACCAGTCTCCTCCTGAGGCAGAAAGTTGGAGTTGTATATTTAATAACATGTGTGAGTTTAATTATGTTTTGGTCAAGCCAAGAAAATAAAAAAAAAAAGATTGAATAAAATTAATCAGTATGAGGGCAAGGATACTTTATGCTCTATTATGAGCCAAGATTAAAATTATCTTTAAAAAACTTAAAAATTGTTGCCAGAGAGGCAATATTCACAGAAAAATGGATTGCAGTACTTTCCTGTCATGGGCAGGGGGCTTTATCCTAAAAATGCACTTAAGGAAAAAAATTCACAATATAATAGACCATTACTATGATGGGAAAGTAGGAAAATGGTAAGAAGTTATTACCATATTTCAATCAATGTAGTGACACATATAAAACGTAGGTACTGAAAAGAAAACTTTAAACAAATTTGAATGAAGTACTCAGAATAATGAAGGAAATGATGACAAAGGGAAGCTGTAGGAACAGCAACAAATTGTGACACAGGACATAAAAGAAAAGAAAGTATAATTCTAAGGAATACAAAAGGGACAACATGCTTTGGATAATAAGGGACATTATTCAATAAAAATATGAGTTCAAAAAGAAGTGGGAGGAAAGAAAAACTAGTTTCAGGAGACAAACTCTGATACTATAGAGACAACCAGATTTTCTTGCAGACCCAGCTGTCTCAACTCCTTGTTTGAACTAGATGTGAAATATCAGTTAATGAAATACAATCTCTAATATAGTTATGTAGTCAGAGTCCATACAAAAATACACTGGGGATTGATACTAACACATTTTTAGGAATTTGTACCCAATGGATGGCCAATCCCTAATTGAATTTCTCTCAATTTGAGCAAGCAAGGTAAGCTACTTCTGACAGAATGTTTTTAAGTCCTGTTCACACAAAATGGTAAGTTCCAGAAATGCCAGGTTGGGTCAAACCACTAGAAATCTAACATGATTCGGAATTTCCATGGGAACAAAATCTTTTCTTGGAATTGTTTGGACTTTAGATGGATGGATTTGGATTTTTTAGGGAGGGCACAGAGCCAGGTACCTAGTGGCCCCACCCTTTACTATCTCTAGGGCAGTCCAAAGTTGGAATTGGTGGTAATTAAAATCAAGATTGGAGATAGATGGGCTGAGGACTAAAATCATGCAATTTATAAAGCACATATTTAATGTTTCCATTTGGGACATTCATAATAAATTACTCAGGAAGAAAAAAAAGACATCAGATGGGTCTTAATCACTTGTGGTTGTGGAAAAGAACTGAAGTGACACATATTGAAAATACGAAACTACAGATCTAGAGGAACACAGTGTACTTGGCTTGGTCACATCATCACCTTGAAATACTGTCTTTCCTTCTACAATGAAGTGATTGATGCTAATGAATTATCAGAGCTAGTAAGAAAAGAAAAAAAAGTCAGATAAAGTCACCATTGTCGGTTTTTCAAACAACAGGAGGAAATTCTGCCAACAACCATTTTACATTTAGTGAGACAATCAGGAGGTGGCAACAAGCCACACAGTTCGAAACTGTTTCCTGCTGAGTCTGGCTTGCACTAAATAAATGTGTACGTAGCCAGATCAAATGAAAGTGACTTTTACTCTATTTGGTCATTTGTAGGTTTTACAATAACGGTAAATAACAGAATTCCAACAAAGAAAAATAGCAGATATTAAACAGAAAGCATCAGACACACATAGTCCATTAGCTATTTTGAAGTGCTGATTTAAACACTAAAAAGTGGATAAAGTGAGAAAGAGTAAATTTAGAAAGGTTATTAAATGCTCACTCCTTAGTCAGCTTCCAGGTTCAAGGGTGTGGTGGTACTTGGTTTATTCTTGGCACCTGCCTCTGCCACCCGAACACTAGGACCAGTGCCTTGCGTGTGCATTTTTTGGACTTACTTTTATTTGCCACAAGGACCCCTGAAGCATATCCATTATCTTATCAGTCACTATTTACACTATATCTCCATGTACCACATATAAATATTCATTCTCTAACTATTATGTGTTTGGCATTGACCAAATATTAAGAGCCAAGGTCACTCAGTCAAAATGAGCTTTTAAGACTATCCAATAAATCAGCTCAAACAAATTATTCACTGGTAGATTATCCTTCTTTCTGGTGGTTGTGAGAACGGTAGAGAATGGTCTGCTGCTACTGTAAACTAGAGTAATAAATAAACAAGATGGCCGGTTGTCAAGGGGTAAAAATTACACCGTTGAAAATGCAATTGGGTTTCAGAGACCTTCATACGTAAACTCTTTGCAGTAGGGAGAAACAGTATTTTATAGTCCAGCCTTGAAGGTCACTTTTTTTTTTGAAAGCTGTGAATGAGAACTTAAGACTAATCACCACTAGCTGTCATAACAAAATAAGAAAACATATCAACAATTAAAGCTTGTATTAAGCAGTAAAATTAGATGTTTCATTTAACATGGTATAGGAACTCTGTTTAGCTAAGGAAATCATCTCATATGGTAGCTAAAATTGAAACTGAAGTATTTATTTAGTTGTTATAAGTGGTGTCCATTATTCACACATTAGCATATTATTTTATTTTAGTAATAAGGTTATTACCAGAGTAGGCAAAATAGACCAGGTCCATCAAATTGCCTACAATTTAGCAGACATTTGAATGATCTTCACTTTGATACAGAGCAAATAACTTCGAATCATGATGACTAAAACACGAAAATGTATAGCTTAAAGGTGACAAATCATATTACTTTGAACAAATATTTATACTCAGGTCATAGTAAAAAGAAAATTTTTTGCTTATATGTCAATGTTTTTATTACATTTTGTTTTGCTTTGTTTTGTGCTTCTAGGTATGGGTACATCTTAAGTCGGTTCACATCTTTCTGAGTGAAAGTAGAGGGAGACCCAAGGAGATTCACATCAAAAGAAACAAAGCTCAGACAAAACCAACAACCAAAGAAAAAGTTCTTTACCTAGAGCAGAAGCAGTCCAATATAACAGCAAGAAGCCAAAATGCTCCTCGCTCATCCAACTGAGAAACGTGATTTTTAGGGAGCGGTGCATCTAGCCTTAGTAGCATCAGCCCGTAGTGGAAATCTTTGTAGAATGACTGTAGTTTTTTTCCCCCCTTGTACTGACACACCTTTAGATATAACTATTAAAGAAAGAATTATTAACCTGGCCTATTTTCAGTATATTTTCTGTACCTTCTTCCTTTAACTAAAACCTGACTCTCCCCTAATGATACTGCTTCCAAAGCAACCCCTGGCCGCCCGCGGTTCCTTCTCTCGCGCACTTTGTAGCACTCGCCCTAAGCAAACACTAGGAGGGGCCTCTACGTTACTGCGCATTCTTTGAAGATTTTAGCTCCTGGTTCTGTCACTCCTTCCTACAAGAATTACTCCTGTCTTAGTTCTGGCAATTTCCATATCCACATATTCTAGACTCTCTTTCCGTTAGCCTCTTTTCCTCCTATCCCACTTTCATGGTCACGTCCTTGCCTGAACACTGTCATTACCTATGTCTCCACTCTTTGTACGATGACATTTTTAACAATCCCATTTGCTGGCCACGAGCAGAGGAGTCTTTTTAGCTCACTCACTCCAAATTCTTTGATCGCACCAAGAAGTAGCATCTGTCAATCTTCCTTCCTTCCTTTTTCCCTTCATTGCCTTCATTTTCTCACTTTATTCCATGCCCAGTTTAGATACTTTGGTCCACCCCCATGGGTGCTCCTTCGCACATACTCTCAGTTTTATTTTATCTAGTTCATTGTCCCTCTCCCATTAGAGCTCTAGCCTGATTAAATCCTATTCTGTGCTGTATCTGAATCCCCAGCTGAAGGCTGAATAATTGTGTTGAATTATCTCATTAAAATATATATATATTTCTTCTGAGCTCTAATGCTGCCCAAAAATACAGGCATACCTCATTTCATTGCACTTTGCTTTACCGAGTTTCACAGAAACTACATTTTTTACAAATTGAAGGTTTGTGGAAACCCTGCATCGAGCAAGTCTAAGATGGAAGCTTGACAAAAGTGAAAAACTGTATAGAGACCAACTTCAATATACCAAAAACAGAGCTATCTGAGGCCACTTCATATGGGAACAAATAACCCTAGACAGCTCAACTGTTTTCAGGGTTATGGTTTTACAGCCAATATAATAAGAATCATCGAGGGGGGAAAATTGTGTTATAGTATTCTCCAGGTTAAGAAGCAATGCTGATAGTCAAGATTGAAAAAAAAAAATTAAACTTTCAGATACTGGAAATATTTGGCTAAGAATAATTCACCCCCCCCCAAAAAGAATAACGACTTTCTAAGGATTACTGTACTGTAGTTAAAATATTGACTTTTGTATTGAGAAGTAATGTCTACAAATCACATATTAAAAATCTGACACTAAGATGTGTGACTCAAAGAGGAGGAGGGTACATTCTTTAATTACAATACTGCTCTTTGTATTTGGTTAATGAAGACAAATTATAAGTTTAGTTTAAAGCTTTGTATGTAGATAAAAGGGAAATGAAGGTAACTATTAGGGTGGTATTAGAATTCTACAGAAAGAGATGTATTTAAACGTGAAGGACTTCTGGGTCAGTCTTGCTTGAACTGACTGAATGTTAGCTACAAACTTACTTACCTACTTCCTTATTTATTTTTTTGGAAAAATACCTGAACTATATTTTTCCATGTGGAACCTATAAATGATAACAGAAGTTTGAAATTATAAATCTCTCTGATAAAGGGAAGTAGGAGAAACATCCTTTATAATCTGATATTTCGTTTTGTGCTCACATATAAATACACTTCGTTCCTGTTGACGTGGCAGTCAAATTTCTTCTAAGCCCCTCTCATGATATTCCTCTCCAGGAAGGGAGTCATTGTATTGCCATAGCTAATGAGATAGCATATGATTTTATCCATTGCTTGTTAAAAATTAGTTGAGACATCTTTCATTTGCTGAAATTACTATAATTCAAAGAAAAATTACCTTTACCTTTAAGACTGTTTTGAACTTCTAAAGCTACATCGAGAGCATTGAAGGGCAGAACTGGTTCATTGGCAATTTGCAAAATCACTTCTCCTGAGAGCTGAAAGAAAAAAACACAAAAGATGCTAGCATTCAGTATTAAGGGTTTCCGATTTGTTTTTTCATTATTTCATACATTCTTTTTTTAAATTTTATTTTATTATGTTGTTGATCACCATACATTACATCGTTTTTTATGTAGTGTTCCATGATTCATTGTTTGCATATAACATCCAGTGCTCCATTCAGTACATGCCCTCTTTAATACCCATCACCAGGCTAACCCATCCCCCCACCCCCTCCCCTCTAGAACCCTTGGTTTGTTTCTCAGAGTCCATCGTCTCTCATGGTTCGTCTCCCCCTCCGATTTCCCCCCCTTCAGTTTTCCCTTCCTACTATCTTCTTTATTTCTTTATTTTTTTTTAACATGTAATGTATTATTTGTTTCAGCGGTACAGGTCTGTGATTCAACAGTCTTACACAATTCACAGTGCTCACCATAGCACATACCCTCCCCAATGTCTATCACCTAGCCACCCCATCCCTCCTACCCCCCACCACTCCGGCAACTCTCAGTTTGTTTCCTGAGATTAAGAATTCACCACAGTAGCAAAAACATAGAGGGTAAAATATACTTTTATAAGATATCTTTGCCTTTTGAATTTCTTTTTTACTTTTTTTCCCAAGATTTTATTTATCTATTTATTTATCTATTTATTCATCTATTTGACAGAGAGAGAGAGAGAGAACAGAGAGGGAGAAGGAGAAGCAGGCTCCCCGCTAAGCAGGGAACCCAACAGGCTCCTATCCCAGGACGCTGGGATCATGACCTGAGCCAAAGGCAGATGTTTATCCAACTGAGCCACCCAGACACCCCTCTTTCTACTTAAAAAAAAATTATTTATTTATTTGAGAGAGAGAGAGCAGGAGGAGGGGCAGAGGGAGAGGGAGAAGCAGACTCCCTGCTGAGCAGGGAGCCCTACATGCTGGGCGTGGATCCCGGGACCCCAGGATCATGACTGGAGCCGAAGGCAAATGCTTAACCGACTAAGCCATCTAGGTACCCTTAATTTTATTTTTCTATAAAGAAAGAAAAAACATTCAGTGTATTTTTCGTGTCTCAAAATAGGGTAAAGGAATATAACATTTTCTTCTTTTTTTAAGCTAAAATATTAAGAAATAGCACCCTAGTTGAAGAAGTTGTAATATTTAAACTTTAAAACAATTCTTTATAAAGCAGTACAGAATATCACACAATAAAACAAACAGTAGAGAGAAATAATTGAAAATCAATATCTGGTTAGGGGACTAAGTAAAACTCCAGACAAAATTAATGATCAATTTATTTCATTTAAAATATAACTTAGTCTGAACAGATGGTTACCAGACAGGAGGTGAGCAGGGGGGTGGGTGAAACAGGTGATGGGGATTAAGGAGTGCACCTGTTACGATGAGCACCAGGTATTACATGTAAGTACTGAATCACTAAATTGTATGCCTGAAACTAATATTACACTATATGTTAACTAACTGGAATTTATTTTTTTTAATTTTTAATTTTTATTTTTTTTAAGATTTGATTTATTTATTTGACAGAGAAAGAGAGCACAGAGGGACTGTGAGAGGGAGAAGCAGACTCCCTGCTGAGCAGAGAGCCTAATGTGGGGCTCGATCCCAGGACCCTGAGATCATGATCTGAGCTGAAGGCAGATGCTTAACCGGCTGAGCCACCCAGGTGCCCCATAACTAACTGGAATTTAAATAAAAACTTAAGAAAAATAAAATGAACTGTTGTTTTCACTAGGAACTAGAAAAAATATATATATAATTTAGTCTGAAAAATTCCATTAAAATCTTAGTTACTATTTTCCTTAATGTTTTACTCTATTTCTAATTACTTTTCCAAAATCTATCAAAACTAGTATCATTTATATGTCTTTGAGGTCATTTAAATTAATGTTAAAAAAAACTTTAATGCCATCCCCAAAACTCATACCTGGAATTTTCATGCATGCATATCAACCCCCACCATGCTCCAAAATTGTGTTTGAAAACAAACATACGCACTACAGCTAAACCAGCATCTGCTTTATAGACTGAACAAATCATATGCATTCATATACATCTCAAAGGAACTTAGGGCTGGTGGCAAATGCCACTGTTACTCTCCCTCTCTCTCAACTGATATTTAATATTTACCTAGGCTTAACAAATATCCCTACATCTCTAATCACCCTGAAGATGGCACACAGGGAAATGTGGGTGCGTTGATGTTATTAATGTACTATGAAATGTTGTTAGTAAATGAAAATATGTTCTTGTGAAACTAGACAGGGGAAATTAGCTTGAGACATTATAGAACACGTAAAAGATACAACTTACAAGGAAAATATGTTAAATATTCAAATCTACATATTCAACAAGAGTCAAATTCCATTTACTATTTACAAGTTATAATTCCCAGGTGTTTGCACAATTTAAGTCATGATAAAAATACAGTTCAATTTGATCTTCTTCTAAATGCTTGAAAAAAATACATCTCTTAGAAAGAAAGAGGAAGAAGAAACGCTTTTGGTGTTCCTTTATTTCTTTGAGATATTTTTCTCCCAGATGTAGCAACCACTTTTTCCCCAATGCCTACGGTTTATTTGCAGAGTATTATCCCCAGAATAGTGATCACAAAAATCCTGGGAAGCTGCCTACTCTGATTATGCTGTTTTTCAGGGGAAAAACCTTATCTGCAATAGGTTGATATGAATTCTGTCTCTATTCCACCTCACTACATCCAAATCATGTAAGAAATGCTGATATCTGGAAATAAATTATTTGTAAAAAGGAATTTTTAAAGAAGATTAAGAAGCATTATGGTTTCTTTTTTCAATTTGCACTGGATAATGGAAACTACAGAACAGACATGTTTTGTTTACAGTTTTGGAATCTGGAAACCACACATTATAAGAGATTAAAATGAAAGAATGGGGAGGGAGGAGAAAGGCAACTTCACTGTGTGCTGCTGGAGAAAGTTGTTTTGTTTTAAGAGTCATTTGGCAGCTCAAACAACTGGAATATAAGCCAGCCACCTTGCTATTTCTTTCAAAAAGAACCTGAGAACAAATACTGGGACTTCTAAGGCACCTGGCCCATGAGAGAATGCTTAGACTAAACTGGTTTTATTTGCAGCTTCCTAAGCAAGAGGGAGATTTGCATAGGTCTTGCCATGAAGTAGGAGAAGATGAGCCATACTCATACTCTTCTCATCTATTCTGGATTCACTCTTATTCAGGCAAGCCAAAGCAACCTTCCCTTATATTTATATAAAGCCCCACTCTTTTCAAAGTGCTTTACACTTAAATATCTTATCTTGACAAACCTAGAGGCAGGTAGTGGGGGAATTAATTTTATGTTAAAAACATAGGTATAAGTATAAGCCTTACTGGGTTTCAGTCCAAGATGGTAATATAGGACCTTACTTCCTCCCATGGACACACCGAATCTACAGCCACACACAAAACAAATCCGTCTGGGAAAAAAAAAATCTAATTGAATGATTCCTACACATCAGGCAAATAAGAAAAGCCCCACTTTGAAATGTGTAAGAAAGACTGAAACACACTCTGACCATAAACACTACCACATCATAGCAACATACAATTGGGAGAAAACTCACAACTCCCATTTTCTCCCTGAGGAGTAAAGGGTTTGGGTCCAACATGGAGTGCTCTACCTTTTAAGACTTCCACCCGAGGGGCAGGCTCCCAAAACACTTAGCCCCCAAAGCCAATGAGACTTGTGTCCACAAGACCTACAACACTACGGCAAACAAAGAAACAACTCTTATGGGGCTTGTGAGGACTTGTGAGTCCCCTGGGCTCAGTGAAGTGGTAGCAAGCAAAAAATGCCTATATCCCAGTCTTCCCCTGAAAGACGTCAATTTACATATCTTAAAAGCTACAGCCTGAGAGTCAGGCTTGTAACTTAACACACATCTAGGGGCCAACTGCAATTCTTTCTGGAGACTGAGGCGGCTGGCAGGTTCCATCTTTACCACCCTCACTTTCTCTCTCTGCCCTGCTCCAGGTCACCAGTGTCTCCTGAAAAAGAGCTTGTGCACCTGTCTGGTGCCCGGGTTTTGTAGCTGCCACCCAGACGATGCACCCCTTGATTGCTTGGCTCTGGTGGCCAGGGGGGCCTGAGTTCTTGAGTTTGAATTCCCAGAGGATTATAGTAAACACCACCACCACCACCAACAACAACACCGAAACACTTCTTAATCAGCTATCCCCTCAGGGCTCAGTGCAAAATGAGCAGAGAGAAATGCCAATCTCCCAGTCTTTCCCTGAAAGAGGCCTATTTGCATGCTTTATACCTGCTGCCTGAGGGTTAGGTGCCTAATACAACACGCATCCAGGAACAGATTGTGATCTTCCCTGGAAAACTGGGAAGCCAAAAGGCATGAATTTAGCATTCTCCCTATAGTCTGCTCCAAACCACCACTATCCTCCTGGAAGGAGTTTATATACATATCTGGCACCCTAGCTTTTGCAGCTCCACCCAGGGGACACACCCCTTGATATCCTGGCTATGGAGACCAGGGGAGCTTGCATTCACAAGTTTCACAGGACTGTAGCAAACAAAGAAATACTTCTTAACTGGCTATCCCTCTAGGGCTCAGCACTTAGGAAGCCAATAGAAGGGTGTCTGGGGGGCTCAGTCAGTTAAGCGTCTGCCTTCAGCTCAGGTCATGATCCCAGAGTCCTGGGATCGAGCCCTGCATCGGGCTCCCTGCTCAGAGGGGAGCCTGCTTCTCCCTCTCCCTCTGCTGCTGCCTGGCTTGTGCTCTCACTTTCTCTCTCAAATAAATAAATAAAATCTTAAAAAAAAAAAAAGGCAGCCAATAGAAATGCCTGTCTCCTAGTCTTTCCCTGAAAGAGGTTTATTTGCATACTTCAAAAGCTTCTGCCTGAGGATCTTGCTTACAATCAGCCCGCATATAGTTGCTGACTGAGTCTCTCCCCTTTGGGACACTAACAGGTCTTGGCACACCCTCAACTACTGTAAGCC